ACGTTTGAAGTGATTTATCCACTTCAAAAGGAAAATTCTTCACCGTTAGAAAAATATTCCTTATATCTGTATTGATAGTAAAAAGCTTTCACTTTTCCGGCTTGCTTAGTATTTTTATAGCCATGATATTAAGAACTCTGCTCCATTCTCTGCCAGGCCCAAATCTCGAACATCATTTACTTTTTTTTTGTGATATGTTCCTATCTTTTTCACAACGTGATAGGGAATATATTCGTCATCACTAGTATCACTAGCAATATTAGTGATAGTTTCATTGCCACCTAAATTTCTCCCTTCTTTAATATCTTGGTGAAACTTTCTCTCTGCTTAAACCCAATCAAATTTTTCACTTAGGTTTAAAACCAAAATATTTATATAAGTATCTTTCGTATGTTGATTGATCTATTTCTATTAGAAAGTATTTAATAGACCTGATCGCTTCAAACGGACATCAGTTTCGGATTCAACGACCCCCAAAACGTATAGATATGTAAGTTTACTTTGTTTTCAGTTGATTCTCCACATTTGACCTTGAACTGACCTCCACCCAGATCTGATTGAGTCAAACGGACATCAGATTCGGATTCGGCGACCCCAAAAACGATACATAGGTTGAAAATTAGATACATAGTTTTAGGTTGTTGACAATTGATTTTCTACATTTGACCTTAAACCAGAGCTAATCGTGTCAAACGGACTCCGGATACGGATTCAGCGACCCCAAAACCATATGGATACCTTGGTCTTGTCTTTCGGACTTGCCACTTTTTTTTTTTGTGGAGCTGTGTTGTCAGAGCTCGGGACTCTGTCGGATGATCATAGCCATCGCGTCGGCCTTTCGCTATAGCGCATCGTACGAAACCGGTAATAACGGCAGTTATTGTCTTCGCTTATACTTACCTCTTAGCTGTATTTATTTGTTTACACACGCCTATGACTAGCCGACGAAAATCCCGAGCTTTACTGATTATAGATCGTACCTGTCTATTTATCATACATTTGCTAATGACACTTCTATAGAGCAGCCATATTTAACCCTTTTGTGGGTTTGGGGTTTACATTATGGATTTTATGAACTCCTTGGTTTATTTTATTCTTTTTAGTGCATTTTAATAAAAGCTAGGTTTTAAAATATTTTTTTTACTTTTCATTTATACTTGTTGAAATCATATCTCTCACATGGTGTTCAATTTTACAATATTGTGGTTACAAATCCGATATACTTAATCAAACATCAAGCATGCCTCAAGGTTCATACTTAGCCTACTGACTTTTAGGACATATGTTCATATGAAGTTTTTTTCTTAAAATGGATCCAAGAATAACCTTCTTAAATATTAGTACATTATTAAGAAACACCCTGTATAGTAACTGTGTTTATAGATTATTATTCACTGTTGTGACAGTATTGGGCGAATTTTGGTCTGCACTACCACTGTCTTCAGAGGTAAAAACGTGTCGTTTTCCAAATTTTTTGATTCAGATATCATAATTAACATATAAATATATTTTTGTATTTTATTTCAATACGAATATCATCAATGCATCATTAAAGCAGGGAAATGTTTTCTAGGTTAGGTAAATTATAAATCGTTATAAATGCACGGGGAAAATAAAGGTTTCCCTTTTTGTACCGGCGTGTACTTATGACTGATGGAGAAATAATTTGTTTGTACAGGATGCTTATGCCTAGTCTAAATTACGCAGTTTTTACTTTTAATATACAAGAGTAAGCGTAGTAATGAGCTTTCCACTAGCTCTACTTGTATATAAAATAATAATCTGCGTAGTAAAAAAGGAATATTATTCTCTTGATACGTAGTAGATATGACCTAATGTGATGTCAAAGTTCAGACACTAGACCTTCTTTTCAGAAAGTGCTAAATATCATTATTATTAGTTTTTAACAATTTGCTACTTTACTACCTAAAGACACACATCACATTTTTAGGTTTTTTACAAGATGTGTTAAAATCTTTGAAAACGCACCGTTGCGTTGTTGAGAAAAACGCAATTGACCACCCTAAAGTCAGCCAGATTTTGTTCGTCAATGTACAAGGTGTCCAGAATCAAACGGGCCATACCTGAACGGTATTTGAATAAAAATAAGAGGATAAAATGAAATAAAATGAAAGCTTTGGGACAGTTAATTCTTCAAAAAATTATACAACAAAATGTTACAGGGGAAACTCTAAAAACAAAATTGATATATTTAGCACCCTCAAAAACAAACCTGTACCAAATTTCAGTGTAATACATTCTTTTTGGAGAAATATAGGCTGTCTTATAAAAAACGCCACAAGCTGCAACTCTGTTAATAATTGTTTTATTTAAAAAACCAAAAGACTGTTGTTAATGGCTTGACAAATACTACAATCGAGCACTGATTTAATTTTTTTTTGCCATCATCAGAACGTTAGGCGAATTTCAATTGTTTTTCTTAAATGTCAAAGTATTATTTTTTTGGCCTGTTCGATAGAGTATTTTTTTCTGCAGTCAACGATATATTACATCTTGATATTTGTTAAATATTTTATGGGAAAATATTTTTTTACAAAATTTATTAGAGAAATGCTATGTCTAAAGTAACAACAACAAAGCAAAACAAATAGATACCAGATTAACCACAAAACAAAAATGTAACAATAAAAAATCTTATAAAAATTGGTCGAACTGTCTTCCATCTTGTTGGATACATAATTGACATCTTCTGGCTACCTCATACGTAGCATTTTATATTAAATTTGGAGGTATTTCACGATAAACGTTTATAATCCTCTCTCTCAAAATATCTATATTTTCCGGATATGTCAAAAATACTTGATCTTTAAGATATCCCCAAAACCAAAAATCTGCGGGGGTGAGGTCAGGAGAATGGGCGGGCCATCGAACAGGACCAATCATGCCAATCCATCTTTCATCAAAACCATCATTAGACAATGACGTATCAGATGTGAGACTTCGTAATAATTAGGGTACACTACAGGGTGTTTCATTAATAATTGGATATATACCAGCTGGATAGTTGCTGACATAAAAAGTGCCTCCATACTGAGATATAGGGTGTTATATTTCACATTTCATAAATTATTTTACTTTGATGTTATTTAATATGATCACTTTATTGTTCTGGAACATTATATTCGTAAAAATGTTTCAAAATTCAAAAAAAAGAAGTAATAAAACACCCTGTATCTCAGTGAGAAAGCACATTTTATCCAAATTAATCATTAATAAAACATCCCGAATATAATTAAAAAATCGCATGAAAACATTGACTGTTAGACTATTTGTGAAAGAAAACATAGGCATTGTATAGTTTTATTTTATCAGACATCTCGAAGCAGGCTAAGAATAGGTTGTGGCAGAATTAACGTGAATTTGCCTTTCCTGAATTATACCCTTTGTGCTATATTGAATATAATTTACATAAAAAGTAACAAAATCCGGCTAGGACTCCAACTAACGGATTATATTATGCAAATGGGCCGACACCGCGATAATAACTTAATAATGGTTAATACAAGACGTACGTGACCTCGTAAAAAGAATGACGGCGCGCCGTAACAACATAATCCATTATCCTCAGCCCTGTTACGGCATTTCAAACACCCCCACTGCCAAAGGACGGGAATGCCGAAACTGTAAATGGTGTCTCTCGTGTCTGACATGAGCGCGAATACATGAATATATTAAAGTGAAATTAAATGTCTCCGTTAATAGGTCTGCAAGTGTTTCGGGTCTATTTTTCTACAAGGTTCTTCAACCAATAACTTTTAATTCTGACAGTTGAAGGATTGTTCTCTGTATTGAGCTGTATCTGATTAACAAAGCCTCAGTTATCGATCTGTGGTTTATAAATAGCTGCTATTTTGTGAATATAGACCGGTTTTTAACTCAAATACCTTAATAACTAGAGGAAAAGTTTTTGAAGCTGTCTAAAATTAGACGGTTTGTTATGATTTTTGATCCAATTATCAAAAACCTCTTTAAAACTTGAAAATTGAAAAATCTCTACGAAACTTCGTGAAATCTTTTGGATTGAAGACACAGGGAAATAAATTGTAACTAAATTGAAGTATACATTTGAAAAAAAATACTGTAATCATTTACCATTACGTCTGTTGGTAATTTTAAGATCCTATCCTGTTGAAATTTTCCATTGCGTTGATGTTGTGAAGTTTTGTTTGTCGGTGTTACATCAGAAACAAAGGGGGCCGAGTTACTGACGTTATTTAAAATTTAGTTTGTCATAATTTGTTCGTAGAGCAACCGGGAAAGGTTTTTGTACGTGCGACATTACATGCCACAATATGTATTTAATGTCTCTACTAACTTTAACAGTTGAAAGAGGACTTGATTTTGAATAAAACGAGAAACTAAGTTGACTCCATATTACCATCTGGCTCCGAGCTCTGACAATTTTTTACCCCCCGAGACAGAAATATCTGCTAAAGGGTTTTTGTAAAAGTTCTTAATACATTAATCTCTTTTTTAACCGACTTTTTATCGACTCTGAAAAAAGCGTATTACTTTAACATTTAACCTTCCACTCTTTTGTGGCGACTTTATTTGGGTACGGTTCTATTCTCTTTCAATTATTTATTTCGGGAGCACCCTTCTCTCTTTTATGTACCCTTCAGGATGTATTAGTCAACTTTCTATCGCGAGAAGCGAAAGAGGTGTTCAGAAGGGGAAAATTATTCGTCTTGTGTTGGAAGTTAAAACATTTTTTTATCCCAATACTCACATTCGAAAAGATTAGCGATGAAAAAAGCAATAAATCTTTCATACTTGCCAAGGGATCTAAATTGACTTACGTTTTCTGATATAGTTTAAAATATAATCCTAGATCTTTATATTTAAGTTGCTACAAGTAAGAAAACAAATCATTTATAATTACTCATGTGGCTAGACACTATTGATTGGTTTTTAGTGTTTAATTATACAGTGGCTCATGCTCTAGATTCATTTCCGTTAACACCAACCCTTTATCTTGATCACCTACCTTCATCATGATTGCTCCCCAAAAGAATTTCCATATCTTCGTAGTCTCCTTCTGCCAGCATATCCATGGGATGTTTCGGTAGAAGTATCCCGTCTATGGTGGGTGTCGACGGAAAACCAAGAATCCCAGAGTACGAATTCCATTGTTGCAGCGAGATTGTCTTGGCGTCGACGGCCCTCATACAGTCCATTACTTGATGTGGATTGGTTTCCAACAAAGATACGTTACAACCACAGTCTTGGATAAGGATCCGTCCGATTTGCTCAGCGCGTTCTCCAGTCATGTAACTCCATGGAGCATTCATGGTACCGGATTGTAAGATTCCTCTACGAGCTAGGCCTTTGGTTACCGGACTTATCAAGTGAATGCTTACGGAGCCTCCACCAGCGGATTCACCAAACAAGGTTATCAAGTCCCTATCCCCACCGAAAGCAGCAGCATTCTCTTTGATCCAACGAATCGCGAGGACTTGGTCCCATAGCCCCATGTTACCGGGAGTCTCCTCGCTGCCTCTCGGGAAATACTTTTTTAGGTAAAGGAAACCAAAGGATCCCACACGGTACTGCATGGAAGCCACTATAACGTCGCTCGTGGCTGCTATGATGTCTGCGTCGTATATATCCAAGGTGGAGGTGCCACTCATGTATCCTCCACCGTATATCCAAATCAGAACGGGAACCTTGGGTCGCTCCATGGGAGGCTTCTCGAGGTGGTGGCGTATGCGCAGCCTCTGCGGTACCCAAATGTTGAGGTAGAGGCAATCTTCGGAGATGTTAGTGTTGGGGTTCCACATCTCTTCCCCTTCGAATCCAGGGAAATACTCGTACCTTTCTTGGTAGCAGGAGTTGGGTAGGTTGGTAGCATTCAAAACGCCATGCCAGGGCTCCACAGGGACCGGTCTCCGGAACCTGAGCTGATCTACAGGGGGTTTAGCGAAGGGGATTCCGGTGAAAACATGCACCTCCCGACCGAGCACGGTTTTGGAGAAGCCGCGAACCAGCCCCGTGGTCGTCTCGACGACCAGGGGATCGCTGTGGAAGTCTTTCATCTGCGGGGGTCGAGTGGTGGTTTCCTCACTGGGCCAGGAGTATCCGCACACCGACGCACTGGACGCGAGCAAGCACAGAAACGACAACGGCCCCATATTCAAGAGTACACTGCAATCACTGGAGACTTGTTGATGCCGCGACTATGTGGGCATACCGCGGCAAAGCACGTGGTGGAGATGCTTATCGAGTCACGGCGACACTGCTACTTAGGGTCGGGAGGGAGCTGTTAGAAAAAGCGGCGACAGGAGCGAGTAACATTGGCCCGGGCGCCGCGTGTAGTGAAAGACACCGTCGACGGGCGCAGAGACGTCGGCTTGGAGGCAAGCTGGCACTAACTGTGGCACAGGAGGCTATGGCAGGCAGGTCGAGGCTTGCGCGCCGATCGACGTAACGCTTCCCAGTTACTATAATACGAGACGCCGTTTTAAAACTTTCCTTTTCGCGTGGCCGATGTACGGTTAAGCGCCCGCCGTGGCGAGAGTGTAATTTTTTGTGAAATATATGCAGTTCCATGCCCCTAATTCCTACTTTATGTTATTTCTCGGGTGTAAGTTATTAAAGGGAGGGCAGGGGGGCCATAAATACGTCCGTTTACGTCCGAAATTTCGGCTTTATTCGGATTTCATTGCCGCTTTGTTACATTTATTGCTGCCGCTACGCAAAACGCGCGGCACATAAAAAGCTAATGGCAATAACAGTCCTTAAAAGCTCAGCGGTTTACCTTATACGGTGAATTATTTATAGATCTCTACATATCCAGAAAAATAGTCTCATAAAATCATGCGGTGTAAGAAGATTTATTTATTCTTGCCATGAAAAAAATCCTTCGAAACATTTCAAATATGAAACCGTTGACGTGAATGTCTGCAGCGGGTGTAAAGAAGGAGCGCTTGCCCCCCTCGACTTTTGCACTCATTGCACAAAAGTGTCGTTAAATCAAAAAATTTGTTTGTTATTTTACTAGTTTTCATCGTTTCAGGTTTGATTGCTTCTATTTTTTGCAGTTATTGTCTGAAGCTACTTATTTGTGGTGTACTTTCCATTTTCTTCTTTATTTAGGTACTGGGTATTTTGCCAATGTGAAAAAATTAAAAAAAAGTGATGAAATGAACGCTTGCGCCAAAAGGATCAATCAAGGGTTAATATTATGAAAATAGTTTTATTTATTTATTTATTTATCTAGTAACACCACCCCACAGTACAAGACCAAGAAGGGGACAGGGGTTTACATAAAGAAAACATAAAAAAACACTGTATAACAAGACAAAACAGGTACTACATTTACTACATATAACAATTAAAATAACACTTCAGAAATAACTTTTTTATATTAGTAATATTAGCATCAAATATGTGAAGCTGCTCTTAGATATCATTATAATTTTGACACATACTATACAGAGGTATTTGTTTGTGGAGCAGGTAGATAAAATGTTCTAAAGTTTCGTGTTACAAAGGTAGACATGAAAAAACATGTGTAATATATTCGGACAATTGATGTTATTACGTACTACTTTATATAAGAATATTAAGGAACAAAGTTTCCGTCTATCAGATAAACTAAGAAATGAAAATCTATTCAACAGTTGCTTTTGAGAAATGCCAATAGGTGGGTACACGTTGCCAACTTTAAAGGTTAAAAATTTTAGATAAGGGCGCTGGATATTTTCTATGCTATTGGAATATTTACTATATACTACTATAACCTGGATTCCAAATTAGCGAACCATATTTAAGCCTACTTTTTACAAATGAATTGTATAGTAGGTTAAGTAAATTGATATCATCAAAACCTCTAGAAAATCTAATAATTGAAAAGCTTTTTAAAGCTTTTATAAGCAGACAAAACAATATCTATTCTCAATATAACTACTGAAAGTTAATTTTGAGTCAAACTTTACACCCAAATCAACAATATCATTGACTCTATGCAATTAAACAGTGTGACATTATTTTTTCTGGATTAGGACAATACATTACATTTGAAAATATTCAACGGCTATTTATTCAGATGACACCAAGCATTGATAGCATCTAAACTGTTTTGTAACATTACACATTGATTATCATCATCAGCAACAGAAAACGATTTCATGTCGTCGGCATAGAGTAGACAGTTCGCATTAACATTAGCAATGTCATTTATAAATAAATTAAAGAGCAAGGGGCTCAACACAGAACCTTGCGGAACACCAGACATTAGTTTAACTAACCAAAAATATCATACAAAAAGGCAGACAAATACATAAAAAAAATACACGCCAACCATTGCGCACTTCAAAAATTGACCTTTTGTGTTTCAATATTTTTGACAGTTTAAACTTGACATTTTAATACAAACTTTTAAGAACAACAATGGCGACTACAACTACAGTTTATTTTCAATATTGTTTCTTTAGTAACCATTAGCTTGCTAATGATTTCTTAAAAATTTTAATCATAATGAATCGGTTTAGTCATGACAGCAATACAACACAAAGAAAAAGTTGTCTGTACTTTTCAAGCGACATATTATGTTATCCGTTGTATTTTTGCCTCCTGATCACGAATTCGGTGTCAGAATTGAGCTATCACATCACAGAAATTTCCTAACCTTAAAAAACAGGTCAAAATTAGCAAAAGTTCACGAAAAGTGCTAGGAAAAATACAAAAAATGTTCCATTTATATGGTTAAGACCCAGCGTAACGTGAATCCGCGGTCAAAATTGATGGTTATTTTTCTAACCTCAAAAAAACGGGTCACTTAAGGTCAGATATCATGAATTTTCAAAAAATAACACATTCGCTCCAAATTTGGTTTACGGGGGTTTTCGGGGTCGCTGATCAGGGATCCGAGGTCAATTTTACAAAATTCAAGATTGCGGATCCAAGATGGCTGACCAAATTTTCAAAAAATAACAAATGCGCGCCAAATTTCATATACGGGGATTTTCGGGACGCTGATTAACGTATTCGAGGTCAGAATTGCCAAATTCGTTTTGTAATATCTTTTTTACTTTATAACCTGAGTACCCAATCATGTTTTAACCTTTTTTCTGCTATTCTTCTGTTCTTTTTCCTGTAAAAGATTTATTCACTGGTTTTCTGCCTAATCTCAGGTAATAAAGTACTTCGGTAATTGATTAAATCTTTTTTTTTCAAAAATAATAATAATAATAATAATAATAATAATANAGCGAACCATATTTAAGCCTACTTTTTACAAATGAATTGTATAGTAGGTTAAGTAAATTGATATCATCAAAACCTCTAGAAAATCTAATAATTGAAAAGCTTTTTAAGTAGTAAGTAGTTTAAGTAAGTATTCGAGGTTAGAATTGCGAAATTCATTTTGTAATATTTTTTTTACTTTATAACTTGAGTACCCAATCATGTTTAACCTTTTTTTCGGCTATATCTTGTTATTTTTTCTGTAAAAGATCTTTTCACGGGTTTCTGCCTAATTTCAGGTAATAAAATACAGGGTGATTCACTATATTTTGACCCCCCCTTTTAACTTTTATTTTTAAGTTACAAAAAAATGTGAAATATATAAATTGCACGATTTTTTTATGAATTTTTCGAAAATGAAAAACAGATGAAGTCCAAACAAAATGGCCGCTGATGTTAATTTAAATGGAACACCCTGTATGTTTTTACATATTTGGATAGAACGGTCCCTGTTGAGCGTAGTCATATAGGGATTGTTGGGTCAATCTCTAACAATAACAATAAGATCTCTAACAATAAGATAAGTACTATTAAAAAACGAAAAGGTTTTTTATTAAGACTTAAGAAATAATACATCTTGTAATTGTTAGACCTCTTATCAACTGTCATTTTCAAAAACTTTATAAGAAATCGTGCAACTTTTATATTTCACATTTTTTTATAACTCTTAAAACAAAAAAATTAAAGGGGGGTCAAAATATAGTCGATCACCCTGTAAATAGGTAATTGATTACATTTTTAAAAACGAATTTTGTAAATCTGATCTCGTATTGGTGATCACTGACCCCAAAAAGCCCCCTATACCAAATTCGACGCGAATCTGTTATTTTTTGAAAATCTGGTCTTTTTTTTAATATACAGGGTGATTCTGAAATAAGTGCGTTTTTTGAAAATGATTATAGAGGGCACGAAAATGAGCAACATTTATTAAGCAACTGATGGTCTAAGTCTGTTTTTGAGAAAATTAATTTAGAAAATTAACCAAAAATGTAAGCCGACCCTGTGCATCTTGTGCACGTGCGTAGTGTTGCAGTATTACGTATCCGGCGTATAAAATATTTATTGGTGTGATGCAAATCCTCACGTTGTACAGAGATCTCGGTTCCAGCAATGGTTTTAAGTGTGGTATGGTGTTTTTGGTGGCAGAATTTTGACCGTCATTTGGAAGCGTCTTTATTAGCACATGGAAACAACTTTGAACAATTGTTGTAGAGCATAATTGTCTATTGGTAAGTATTTCGTTTATTCGCTTAATTTTTTTGTATCACTTTTAAACGATATTTGAATAAATTTCAGTATTTTCGAACACAAAATTCAAACCGTCAAAAAATCCATCAGCGCTTTCGCACCCGGCGCACGGCAGCTTAGATATCAAAGGCACAGCTGGCTGCCGCACCAGGACTTAATTTGTTTAAACTTTTATGTGTGTTTTTTAGTTAGTAATGAATACAATACAACTGCATCTAGTCTTTCAACTGTCATTTTTCCAAGGCCTGCATTAAACTGGAAAACTGTGTTTCCAGGCTTTTCATGTCGAAGCATAGAAATAATTTTCATATTGAACTTGTCAATTACGACATCGTTATAAAATAATACTCGAAATGTATTCTCGGTTCAATATCAGCCGACACTTTAATTGCCGCATGAAATATAGAAACACACATTCGAACAATTTCAACAAATGCATTTAAATTGGTCGCCCTATATTAACGGGGCCCGCANTTAAGGAAATGTGATACATCATATATACATTCCTGTACAAGAAAGTTTTTGAGTTTTCTTTTAAAAATATTAATGTTATTTTCATGCCTTATGCAGATGGGCAGATGATTAATGAATTGGATGCCTTTAAATATTGGGCTTTTCTCGAACAACGAGGTACAAT